TCATTCCCCGTTTTAAATAACAACGAAAACGTTACCTTGATATCAAGCTAGCTGGCCATACGTATTAATCTCTGACTAGAAGGCAGATAGCTCCACAGGATTTCGGCAATAATTCTTTGCTTATTTGTTGCTAAAAGATCAGCCTAATTCCGATTCTGTTGCCGATCTTGAAACGAGTGAAAACGCGATTTCTGCTGACCAGAATATTGAGCTAACCGGTCACTCGCGTGTATCTCTGACTAGAAGGCAGATAGAGAGACGATATTCATACTAAAATTTGTCGCTTCTTTGGCACTTAAAAAAAAGCTAAGTATCGTAACTCTAGTTAGAATGCAGAAATAGCTTGATAAGTTTTTCACTATTCACAACAATGCAGTCAAGTATTTATCTACCTCATGCTGTGATATTACTGTGATATTAAGCATATGGAAGTCTTCTGTGAGAACTAACACCGTTCAGAATTTACGATTGACGGGAAGATCGACGCTGTTAGACAGTTTTGTAGTTCTTATTATTTAGGTGTGTGCCTGTTAGACAGTTTTGTAGTTCTTATTATTTAGGTGTGTGCCTGTGTGTGCGAAAGTGGGTATAGCTCATGAAGTTGTTGGTTATAAGCTAATATTATATTGAAAATATGTGGGGGTCTGCATAATTTCTATTGTGTCTTTATAATAACCATTTTATGAAGAAATTGTCCGCATATGTCATCATTTATGAACACATACACACATGCGCGCGCGTACCCGTATGCGTATATATATATCGACGCCTGGGAAGAAGACAATTCCAGGGACATGTACTGCGAGCAAGACTATTTCAACTCAGTGCTGTAACGAAAAAAAAATCCACCACATTATATTGCGTCGAAGACAGTCCCTGAGCTTTGTAATAAGACGAAAACCATTCCAGCGAGCTGTGTTGCGTCGAAGACAATTCCTCCACGTCACTTGCGTCGGAGAAAATCCCTGAGTTCTATAATGAGATGAAAACAATTCCAGCGAGCTGTACTGCATCGAAGACAATTCCTCCATGTCACTTGCGTCGAAGAAAATCCCTGAGCTCTATAATGAGACGAAAACAATTCCAGCAAGCTCTGCTGTGTCGAATACAATTCCTCCACGTCACTTGCGTCAAAGAGAATTCCCGTGCTCTGTACTGCGACAAAAATAATTCCTCAATGCTAACTTGCAAACAAAATTATTTCTCTGCACCATGCAGTGATAAAGAAAATCCCAGTGCCCTTTGATGTGATGAAGTACCACCATGTCATGCTGTGACGAAGGAAACGCTGAGACTTTATTGAGAAAGTAACATAAAATAATCAAGTTAATATGCTAGCTGGTAAGTTCAAACATTTCTAACCCCAAGCTTCCCAAAAGTATGAGGCTGTCTGGGTTGACCTGTGTTAATCATCGAAGAATGAATAAACGTATATGAATGATTGAATAATGTAATTTGGTAGTAAGTTAAAGAGGATGAATAAAAGAAAAAAAGGGACGTCACTTATGTAAGGCCACAAATATTTTCAAAACATAGTATGGCCTTTGTTGCAATAATTGATACGTGCCATATAAAACCTCCTAAAAGATTTCAAAACTGTCAAAGACATAACATTGTGTTGAAACTTATTATAAATGGGGCGACGGTATCCTTAACCTTAAGTATTTCCCCTAGATATTTCTGGTTTGCAGCTTTAAACCCCCCTCCCAAAAGAAAAGTATAAAACTTAGTTATTTTACATTTTGGCGACAATAGAAATATTTATATATTGTGTACTTCACACGGTATGAGTCCATTTTATGGGTAAGCGTATATTTTTTTAGTACGTTTTCAGTGTTTGATGAGGTCGACAGAAGTGGAGCATTTTTAATTTATTTTTCAAAATAGTGTATAGAAATATTATATTTCTTACCGAGGGCGCAAAGTACCAAAGGTACGCCCGAAGGGCGGGGGTTTTTTTATCCTTGTGCCAGAGGTGACAACGACATTTTTCCTCTCCTTGGGGCAAAGTAATTTTTTTGGCCCGCAGGTTGACTTTGCGCCCAAAATTGGAAATGTACTTCTCGCCCACGCAGGCACAAATTACATTTCCACCCGTGGGTGCAAAGTTATTTTAGGGCGCAAAGTACGCTCAAGGGCAGTAATCTTCTTTGTGACCGGACGAAAATTGGTATTTTCTGCACTGTTTTTAGAGTAGAAAGTCCCATTTCCTATACACTAAGTGGACAACAGTGTAGAATAATAGATTTCTTACGAGTTTAGAAAGGCTTTGTTTGCAAGTCGCAGGCAAGGGACGTACAGAGATTGGTAAATAAGCCTTCACGAACGAAATTTAATAAAAAATTGTATGGTATTCCTTGATCAATTGCAACTAAAAAACATATTTGTAAAATTGTTTGTACGTTGCATCGTTTTCGTGTAAAAAATTCCTAAAGTTTGGAACCAAGACCTTTTGACAAATTTCGATAGCGTATTTCTTGGACCTAAGGGCATTATTTTTAATTCACCTGGGCCTACATTTTACTTTAGAGTATGTACTTTTAGATAAATAAAGATTTATAACGATTCTCAGTCTAGCAAGCACGATATTGGTAATTACCGTAAGGTCGTTTTTATACCCACTTTTCATTGACGCGTATGCCTATGTATGCACCAATAGACCTATAGATAGGTATACTTACATCACATCAAGATATGGAAAATGACCTTGATCTGATCAACAATACCGTGGTTGCTAAGCTGAGTATTATTATAAATCTTTATTTATCTAAAAGTGCACACTCTAAGGTAAAATTTAAGCCCACGTAAATTAAAATACTTAACAACGCTATCAAAATACTTAACAAGATTATTTTTTTGTACTTTAGGAATTGTTTACTCAAAACCAATACAACGAACAAAAAATTTTACACAAATGTTTTTTCTCGGGATTGATCAAAGAATTCAATAAAATAATTTATTTGCACTTTTAAACAATACTTTAATTTGTTAACAAAAATAATTAACTTTCTTTACCTGATGATTTCCACTTTTTACCCTTACAATTCGTCATGAGGGGATCAAATCACATAGGAAAGCCCTTGTTGAAGGGCTGGCGGCCCATCGGCAATTGAGACCTACTGGGCCTCCTTACACGTAGCAAGCGATATTCGACTGTTTCGAGGCATAAACAATTCATTAATTGCAAGATATATTTTTGATTGTAAGTTCTTTAATTGTCAAATGAATTGTTTACTGTACATTATTATTTTTGTATTATAGTGCAAAGTAATCCAGTTTGCGATTAAAAAATCGCAAAAATTGAAGTGATTTGTGTTCACCTCAGTTGTGCTGTGCGTGAATAAATCGAATAAAAAAAAAGTATAAACGAAATAATAGTATAGTTTTACCATATTCATGCAAAAAGAAAGCACCTGTAAAAATAAATAAAATCGTAAGTGATTGGAATGTTTTAATACGCGCAGTCTTACTCCATTCATTTATTTTGCTTCGCTGCAAAGTTTATATTACAGTTTTGTTTAGAAATAAAGCAACTTACAATTGAATACTTTTCTAACCCACTGAGTCGAAAAGCAAGGTTTGGAAGTAGTACTTAATGCTTGCGATGCGTCTGAGATCAACCATTGATATAATTAGCGCGGTCAACGAGGCTCCTCTGGCCTCGAGAATGGCCTTTTTCGTAACGACGCCTTTTTATTCTTTAATAAATATTAAAAAAACGACGGCCAAAGTTATAATACTCTTTTTTTTTCAACATTTATTATCTTGGAAAAAATGTAGTTAGAAACTTGAAAATTTAAGAAAGTGTTCTTTTTAGCAATATTTGCCAGTGCTCCAAATTTTAGCGAGATCGGTTTTAAACTTTTGGAATTGTTAACGAAAAATTTTTTATCTCCCTTAATTGCAAAATGCGCCATTTTTTTGCTAATTATTAAATCATAATCAAACCAGTCTAGAAACATCACAAAACTATTTAAATATGTTCAACGTTCCGTTGGAATTTTTATAAAAAACTAATTTTTACTGATTTTATAATGATTTCTATGACGGTACTGGTTTATATGTTATGCTTTACGCATACGTGACATAAGCAGGTACCGTCAAAGAAATCATTATGAAATCGGTAAAAATTAATTTTTTGTAAAAATTCTAATGGGACGTTAAATTTGAATAGTTTTGTTATTTTTCTAGACTGGTTTGGTTACGATTTAATGATTAGCAAAAAATGGCACATTTTGCATTTGAGGGAAAAAAAATTTTTTTTCACTGATTGCCAAAGTTTAAAACCGATCCCTCTGAAATTTAGAGCACTTGCATATATTGTTAAAAGCAATAGTTTCTTCAATTGTCAATACACTAGATTTTTTTTTTCCTAGATATTGAATGTTGAAAAAAATGAGTGCTCTAACTTTGTTCGCAATTTGCTCATAAATAAAGGTATGTATCTGGTTTCAACGAGCGCTATTTTGTAGGTAATTACAAGGGAAACAAAAAACCTCTGAGCTATATATTACAAAAACCCACTGGAGAGTAGATATTAAGGAAAAAGTAAAAAAAGTCTTTTTTTTTCTCATAAATTGTTAAATTAAAAAAAGTTGCTCCACCTACTCAGACTGTGGATAACTAAATCCGAAATCAGCAAATTTATTTACAATTCATCAAAGAATAAAAATGGATCGCGATGAAAAAAAAGGTCATCTTGCTTTCTTTACTGCGCTAAATATTGTTATGAGCACTTTATGTATTTGAATGCAAGAGTTGGTACTACCTGATACGCACCAAATAAATGCCAGTGTGCGCCAATAGAACTTCTTCTGCTGTTAACCTGACCCTCATGCGTGACTAACACTTTCATTGTGTGTGTTGCTCGTCAAAGTTTCGCCAACATTATAGAAGGATGAGTACGCAGTTGTATTGCATTACCGCACAGAACTAATTCGGATTGCTAATTATAAATATAAAGTGATTGTGCTAGAACTAGAGTAATATTTCTGTCAACTATGAATGAGGTGGATGACGAGCCAAACGGCTGTAAGTACCTCCAAGTTATATTAATAGATATTAAGTAATACTAAAGTAAACAACAATACGCTTATCTCGCTACACAGAATAAAGTGTACGTAATAAACGTATAAAGGAAAGCTACGAAAAACGTATTTGCACGACACAACGACGTGATAATACGTATGTACACGTGGAGGCTTTCTCTCAAAAGTAAGGTTTCTAAACATTGCAAAGGGGAAACTCTATTGTAAATAAAAATTACCCGAGAATTGCTGTTTTATTGTCTCGTATCTCACTCATCAACGTGAAAACAATGCATGGTTATACGATGATACCAGTGAACTCATGCGTTTTCATGTAAAAACGAGCCATCACAAATAAAATTATAACGTGACGATCGAGCTGTGTAAACAAACATCACCCATGAAACGCTATATTTTCATTTGTTATGGAAAAATTACAGCATGGATATAGTTACTATGGTGCAGCCGTCCTCCTGCGTTCTGATTTAACCGTGTGATGGTGAGCCGTCACACATAGTTGAGCCATGAATTTGTTTATACCAGTCTCCTCGTGTAACCGTGCTTTGTTCTCTCCATAGTTACATTCTCGACGCACACTTTTGGTATGCCTCAGAAATCTGGACCCAAAAACAGCGATTTACTATTGATGTTTATAAATTTATTTTAATTCTAATCTCGCTCACTTTTTTTTTAAATTTTTCATAATCAGCTCAGATACACAAATAAATGCTGCAATCAGAAGCCAAAAATTTCTGTATAATATCATAGTGGTAATTTAGGCATTAGCGGTTCCTTCCGTTTCACATAAGCAGTGGTAAAATATAATGCTTAATGACTCGATTTTACTGAAGTATTGTCGTTTTTATTAATGGTGCGAAAAAATCCTGAACAACGAATTTTTCAGTAATTACGTATTTCCTCACTTATGATTATTGCACTGTAGTTTATAACATGTAACTCAAAAAGCAAATAAGAGTCATTACTCATGGTTAATAAGCTATTTGTTTTCAGATAATTACGACTGGTACAATCAGCACTCGCAACTTCTTGAAAAGGTTTCAAATGTTGAGGAGAAACTCCATTCACCAGTCTTGTGTCTTGGTAAAAATGGTTCCACATTTGATTTCAAAATTTCTTGTTTTGGTTCCCCATGAAATTTAATTATAAATGTACATGGCAAGAGAATGATATATGTATAATATTTCGTAGATATAAGCCATTCAGTCAAAAAAAAAGTATTTCCAACACTCTCAGTAAGCACATTATCAAATGAGTCATCTGTAATGTCTACAGATGTTTCAACAAAAAGTATCGATGATTTAGAAAACAGTGTTTGTGGATCAGTATTGATGGAAGTTGATGAGTTTGGTATGAATAAAATCCAAAGTTAATCTATGGAGATAAAAGTGCAATAAAAAATATGTAAAAAAAAATTCGATGTATGCATTAATTATTATTTATTTTTCTTCAAGAATCCTCTAGTGAGGCACCGAATCCACACTCAAGTGTTGCAGACAAACAAGAGGAGAGAAATCATAGTAATCCTGAAACATCAACATTTATTAATAAAGGTGAGTTAGTACGTCAGTAATCATCTGGTTTTCTCGAATATACCCTGTAATATCAGTGCAATACTATGATAGCTCCTGGTTCTGCTGTTAACTTATATAGCAAATCTACGGCTTCCATGTAAAATTTGCTCCCAAGAATCATTGGCTCCCATGTGTTACGAGCTCCCCAAAAACTATGGCTCCTATGTTAAGTTGGCTCCCAAGAATCATTGGCTCCCATGATAAAGTTAGTCGCTTTTACCATTGATTGGAACAATTAAGGGCAATTCGGTATATTTTTAAAATTTCTACCTTACCAACAACCCTTTTTAGCTGTATTTATTTATTTATTAAAAATACATACATGTTTACAAGAATTTACGAGAAGAGGCTCAAATCTAATGTCACAAGACATCAGTCAATCCCAAGTATTATAGTAATCCGACACGAATTATAAGAAAAAATCGATTTTCCGTGACTTCGAAAAAGTGTTCAGATGTAACATCGATTCGGAAAATCATTTTTTGTTAAAAATAGTGTACCAAATAATCTGGTATTTTTACAGATGCTGTAAAAATAAAAAGTCAATGTGCATCTTCTTATATTTTTACGTAATAAGCTAATAGAAAANGTTACAGAGACAATTTGTTTCTCTCAGAAATTGTGGTATATTTCCAATAAAATCTAAGCAAAATAACTAATCAAGATCAAAGAAACAAAAAATCAATGTTTTTTATACCTTACAGAATAACATTATTGTTTACTTTGTTCAATAAATTTTTGACCCACATTAAGGTAAACAACCAGTTTTTGACCATCAAAAATCATTAAATGTACCTTAATAAGGTACAAAACTTAAATTTTTCTTCCAAGCCGCTATAATGATGAGGAAAAAAAAATTTTGTGCCCCAAAACGTTAAAATTGGTTGTAGGGTTCCTGAGATATGACTGATTACGCACATATATACACGCACATAGACTTTTTCAAAAAATTGTGTTGTTTTCACTTTAGACACTGTAGAAAACGTTTTTAAAATATTTTCACGAAAACTTAATATTTTACCGACACTAAGCTTTCTCTATGAGGAAGCAAAAGTATGCTTTTTTAGTAGGTATTAAGAAAAGTTCTACGTCATCTGAAAGACAAAAATAGGATTAGAAATATGAAGTTTAAGACAGCGAATAATGTCTCAACTAGTCACGACGTATTTCTTCAATTACTTTTTCTTTCAATTTAATAGAGTTGAAAATTGTTGCATATTATAGATGCAGTTAAAGGGACAAAATTAGTTATTCATTATCATTACAAAAAAAAGGATTAACAAAATTTTTGTTGACACTGCCCGAAAATGCTCATTACTATTATGAAAAATTAAAATTACATGCAACTGACATGGAATTGAATCTTCAGAAATATAGAAAATTAATCGTATCTTGTACAATCACTGGGTTTGAAGAGCTAGTATTTATAACTTGCTTGCTTATCTGTTTCCCCGCTCCTTGTTATTATTATTTTTTTTTTTTTTTCAGGAGAAATAGTAGTGTTTGTCACAAAAGAGCAATCGCAGACAGGGCTATTTTGATGAAGGTAGCCCTGGTTCCATTGCACTTAAGTATGTGGCGAACACTTGTCTTTTTTTTGAGGGTACACTAGCTCCTCAAAAACGCCCGTGGTAAAAAACATTAATCGCCGCAGCATTTTAGCTCCCTGAAAATAAAAGGCATCTTTTTCTACTTTGGGCGTTTTTGAGGGGCTGGTGTGCCCTTAGTATAAAAATTGAATTCTCCACTAATGTTTATCCAACCAGGGCCGTCCCAACGGTCTCTCAGGCATTATTTCACAAGCGCCCTCCGGCCCAAGAACCGCCCTGGGGAGGTGTACACCTTATGAAAGAAACTACTATTCTTTACGTGTATTCACAGAAAAGTAAAATTAATTAATACACAAAACGTATTAGGTGGATTTTGTTTTAAGTTACTATTTCAATATATTCATATTATTTATGCACATTTATTTGTAATGAATAGTTATAGGTACGATAATTTTGTTTTGTTTAATAGTTTCTTGGAAGTGGGTCATACCCCATCAGAAGGTGACTCAATGCACGCAAAAATCGGGAATCACACCAAGAATAAAGATATATACACCCAAAATGAATGGGCTGAAGAAATCCAAAAGAGTAAAGAGAACGAACCATACTATAGAGTGAAACAAATGGGCCGCAAACCTCTCGGTTCGCAAACAAAGACTTTTCAAACTCGTAGGAAAACTACTATTTCATAATAGTGTGTAAAAAATTGGTATTTTCTGCACTGTTTTAAGTGTAGAAAATGCCATTTTCCACACACTATACGGACAACAGTGTAGAATAGTTATTTACGTAACAAGCGCGGGAAAAACGATTTCCCGAACCAGTAGTGATAGACTCGCGCGAGTTGCCGGAGTTGCCTGGAACGAGTGCCAGTTGATCTCATGAGTGCATAGCACGAGTGATGATTACACAGCACGAGTTTCTGGCATCAGCTACAAGCGCGAGTCAATTACACGAGTGGCTGGACTGGCCGGAGTTGCCGGAAACAAGTGCCATGAGTTGAGCACACGAGTGCGCAGCACAAGTGCAGGTAACTCGTGTCGTTTTGATCGTTTTGGCACTCGTTCCCGGCAACTACGGTCACACGTGCGCGTCAGTCATCAATCGTGCAGGAAATCGTCTTTTCCGCACTTGTTATGTAAATAACTATTATTTAGTACTTCAACTAGTATTCCTACTTGAGCGACTACCATGATTCCATATCTTTACATTAGTTTTCAATGATATACCAATTTTTACTCAAAATAATGATAAGAGGCACAAAGCTGATACTCCAAGACACGAGTAAGCCAAAGTGTAAAGAAATCGGTTGAGAATTTTCAGTAAAAAACTATTTTCTCTGGTGTAAAGAAAACACTCAACTACAACACGAAGTACAAATGACGAAAAATCATTTTTCACTGTAAATTCTCAACTGATTTCTTTACACTTTGGCTCGACTTATGTCTTGGGGTATCAGATTCGTGCCTCACCTCATTATTTTGAATAAAAGTATTTAATTTAAAACCTACATAAACTTATGGAATCATGGTAGTCGATCAAGTAGGAATATTAGTTGAAATGATTAACAAAATAATTTTTATTTTCTAACAGCTTATTACGTAAAAATATTAGAAGACGCACATAGAATTTTGATTTTTATGGCATCTGTAAAAATTCCAGATTATCTGGTACACTACTTTTAACCAAAAATGATTTTCCGAATCGATATTGCAGCTGAACACTTTTTCAAAGTCACAGAAAAACATTTTTCTCTTTCAAGTCGTAACGGATTACTATACTCGTATATCCAGGGTTGAGTAATGTCTTGTGACATAACTTTTGTGCCTCTTCTTCTCAATTCTTGTAAAAATGTATGTATAATTAATAAATAAATAAATACAGCTAAAAAGGGTGGTTGGTAAGGTAGGGACTCCAACTTAATACTGAATGCCCTTAACATGCTGCAAATAAACTTTTTATAAAATTTTATTCTATTTAAAATGTTCGCAGTGTATTAATCATTTGTATAGGAATATGCAGTCAACCGTAAACTTTTGTTCTTAGATTCTACCGGACCCCAAACTTCAAATGTCACCGTGAGAAAAATTATGAAAAGAACAGTGAAAAAAAAAAGGTTACAAAGTAATTTATCCAGGAAGAAACGAAGGAGGGAAAGTGAATGGCTTGACAACAACGCAAAAGATAAGAGGGCCAAAGGTAAAGAAGGCATAGGCCGAACGGGGCCGATTGAAGCTAAAGTTATGGGACTAGGGTGCTCTGAAAAGTGTCGGTTAAAATGCCACGAAAAAATTAATTTAGCTGAACGTTAAAGGCCACACGACGAGTATTATGGATTAGCTGACAAAATGGAACAATGGACATGCTTAAGTAACTGGATTTCTGTCAAAACCCAGAGTGAACAAGATCAAGAGACTATTGAACTTGCAGAACTGTTCAACAAGAAAAAACCGAGAACGTACCTCGATTATACTTTGCCTACATCGAATGGACTGTTACGTGTTTGTCGTCCTATGTTTTAAGATACTCTAAGTCAGCCAAGTTATAATTCAATATCGAGTTTTAAAAGATTTACTTCAATTAATAACCTATTTTAATTTTAGACATTTCTAAACAAGTTGTCAAAACTGCTGTGTCAAAAAAAATAATGCTAACGCTACGCAAGTTATTGAAAGTGATTTAAGAGGATGTCATTTTAACAGGCCATACAAATATCCTCAAGAAATGTTAGATGAAGTACGTAATCATATTCAAAAGTTTCCTACCATCTAGTCACACTATTGCCGTGAAAATACTCAACGTAGCTACCTTGAGAAGGGCCTCTCTGTTACGAAAATGTACAAAATGTATCTTCAAGAGAATAATGTATGTACAACTAAGTCAAACGAGAAGGAGACTAACATCCAGCAAGAAGAAAGACAAGAAGTGAATGATGACAATCACGGAGAAGAAGAAGAAAGTGACGATGAGGAAGAAAATGAAGAAGAAGAACAAGCATTGAATATGGAAGAAGAAACGAATAAAGATGATGAAAGCAAAAAAACAAGAAAGCCATGAAGAGACGGGGAAAAAGAATGTCAAGAAACCAAAACCAATCAAAGATATTGTTGATCCAATAGTAGTACGAGAAAGCATGTATAGGAAGATATTCAACACCTTCAATTATGGATTTTTCACGCCTAAAAAAGATCGGTAAGATACAGTAATTTTTATGTCTTCAATATTCGTTTCCAACTTATATGAATTCAGTGAAACTGTGGAACGTTGCGGATCGGACATGACCAGAAAATAATCAAACGCCAGAGTTGTAAGACAGAAAAATAAATCACATTTAGTTAAAACCAGATAAATCTATTTTTCGCAAAGCGCAAAAATACGTAATTTTTGTCCTTAATTTGAATCGTGTGAAAGATTTTCAGCTAATTCTATTAATAAGTTTAATTTCCTCTTGCAGCTTGCTAACGCTAAAAAAATCAAACGGAGGTGTTCTGTAAAAAAAACATTCTTTAATCGGCAGCTAGCAACGTATTATATTTTACATGCAACGTATTCAGAATTACAATATAACTAGATAAGCCAGGCACGTTTGACTTGCTCTTATTTCACAATTTCTTATTATTTAAAACTTATGCAGTTTAAGTACGAAGCTAACAATATTCGCAACGTACTAAAGTAAACTACTAATAAACATTTGATTTATCATCATAAGTCTTACTTCCGTCTAATTCTGTGGTTTTTATACAAGGATAGTGTCAGTTATGAACCTAAGTTTTTATGGCGAGCAATAAAATGGTTAAGCGAGAATTAAAAATGATTATTATACTTACCTATAAGAAGCATTGCTTTTTTTTGTCGGCGGGTTTTGTTTTAATTTTAGTAATATGACCAGCAAATTCACAGTTGGTTTCAAGTCAAACTCTGGTTTCTAAATACATGCATGAAAAAGCTCATGCAAATTTTAAGAAATCTAGTAGCTCTAATGCAACGAATCAGAAACATTAAATATACACTTTCAAGAAGGGTTAGGATTTTGTTACGTGTATTTTTTGTTGTATAAAAATATTAACAATTAAGATATAAAATATTATATTGCAGGTGTGAAAGTTGTACAGAATATGCTAAGACGCCTGAAGAGAAGCTGAAAAAGGAAACAACTCACAACTTACACCTTACGATGAAGTCACAGGCACGGAAGTTAATGTCTGCCGACAAAGAAATGTCTTTAAAAGACAATACAGTATGCTGTGCCAACTACGACATGCAAAAAATTCTAACAACGCCAAAGTCAAATGTGTCTGTGATGTACTATCTGTCTAAGCTATGCGTGTGGAACTTCACAATCTTTGAGATGGGCATGTCTACGGGCCATTTTTTCTTGTGGAATGAAACTTTTGGAAAACTAGGTTCCAATGAGATAGCTTCATACGTTATGTCCTTTATTCAGCAGAAATCGCAAGCTGATGTAAAGAAGTTTAAATTTTACACCGACAATTGTGCGGGACAGAACAGAAATAAAAACATTTTTTCGATGTATATCAAGGCTTGCAATGAGCTGAACATTGAAATCACCCATCGGTAAGATCTTAATTATACTTTACAAAAATATATTTATTGCTCTTTTTTTTCTTACTAACAAAGAAAGCGTTGTGTAGTAAAAATCCGTTGCTAATAAATTAAGAAACAGCTTCCTCAAGCTTCATTATTCTGCTTCTAATTTTAAATAAATGTTTGAGTTGAAAATGTTAATTTTTTCATTTTCTTAACATGATGTTAATTAAAATCGTATGTTTACCAATTCAGAACTGAAACTTTTTTCTTATTATGTTAAAATTATTTAAAAAATTACATCCACTCTTGAAAGATCCATCGCACAACGCTTACTGTTTCATTATAC